TTAAGCCTTCGACGATATTGAAAAAAGGATCCTTCGTTTTTCCTGCTCATACTGACGAAATTTGCTTATTCGCTATTGGGAGTTTCTGTATTATGTACGTTGTACGTAGTATTTCATCAAATTCTATACGCGACTTGCGACTCACGTACATAAGCCTTATGTAAAACACTTTTTTTATGTAGATAGGTACTTCACAATTGAATTTTCTTAATAACAATGTCATTGTGTCATATAGCAATACTCTTTATTTTCAAACAAACTGCAAATTTTTACTAACAATCGAAACACCATAAACAAATATAATAAAACATCACAAAACACTAATAAAAGCCGATCAATTGAAAACAAAATTACATATCGTTAAAATAAATTCGAATACAAATGAGTTCGGTATCGATACCAAATTCATTCGAAACAAAAACCATTCAATTACAAAAGCTATAAAAAGATCGTATCGAATAATCGATACTCGGCAACAAATCATTATGTACTAGGTACAAAACGTGAACATCCTTGTATTGTGTTCAATTAACTAGATTAATTAACTGTGTGTGAAATAGGAAATAATTACTGAATAAATAAATAATAGCAGTATTGTTATTGTACCGAAAATAACGTCGATGCCGACGGAAAGCTTTGAAAATTTTAATTAAAGATGAATGTAAAATCTTTGCCGTATAAATATCAAAAGATTGGTTAAATTCGTTAGGGAAATATTAATGTTTTCAGTGGTTGAAAGTATACATATGGCTTCCTTTACATAGCGACGATTATATATGTAAGTATTTTATAATTCTGATAGGAAACACTTATGGGTATTCTATTTGATATTTAATTACAACACTGTTAATGATGAGTTCTTCAAGGCCAGTAATTATAACATGTATTCTGTACTAGATTGGTACAATAAATATACTGTACTTGCCTAAAATGGTTCAGTAGTTAATTTAAAAATTAATTTAATTTCAAACACGGATCATGATTGCATTTATCACTAAAAAAAATCTCATTACATACAACTACTAAATTATAATTATAATCGATAGTGTCTTTGCAATGATAAAAATTAAAACATAACATCATAACATAACATCACCCCTTTTATTCCCGAAGGGGTAGGCAGAGGTGCACATTACCGCACTTAATGCCACTATACAATGTAACACCCACTATTCACTATTTATGTTATGAGCCCCATGTAATAGGGGATGAGCCTATTGCCATATACCGGACACATTTCCAGACTCCGTGCTACTACTGAGATTTTTAAAAACCCAGTAGTATTTTGACCGACCCGGGAATCGAACCCGAGACCCCTTGCCCGGCAGTCGCACTTGCGACCACTCGGCCAAAAACACACACAACTGCCAATAAATACAAATAAATATTAAAATATTTATAACTAGAGAAAACCGGTTGCTATGCGAAGTATGCGGTAATGCGGCCCACCGCTATTTATCTCTTCAAAGATACATTTATGTATTCATTTACATTATGTATAAAGAGATTCAAATGAGATGAAACCATAACCAATATTAGCTGAATCGAAAAACATTAATTCCGTCAGAAATTCTGACGCCCCTTAATACTGCAATAAGTATAAAAGCCCAGCCCCGTCTGTTTGTTTATCCAAATAAATCTTTGAAACGTCTCGATGAATATTGATGCGGTTTTCGACATTATTCAGATCATTTCGTGGAAGGGTTTAGATTATAATTCAATGATAATCGTAAAATAATCGTTTGACATTCTGCTATTTGGTGGTGAATTTTATATTGAGCAAACAGCCATGATTGTTTTCTGTGGATGGTTAAAGTTTATGGCAACGAGCAGACGGATCACCTGATGGTAATCAATCGGCGTCGCCCATGGACACCTGGAACACCAGAGGCGTTACAAGTGCGTTACCGGCCTTTTGGGGAATTAGGAGTTTGACGATCGTTGGGGATTCAGGAATTGGGAACATTGGGGAAGGGGAGGGTAATTGGGCCTCCGATAACCTCACTCACACAACGAAACACAACGCAAGCGTTGCTTCTCGTCGGTTTTCTGTGAGGCCGTGAGATCTCGCCGGTCGAGCCGGTCCATTCGTGCCAAATCATGGCTCTCCCACACTTAGACTTATTACCTTATTACACTTATAATCTTGTCTTTTTAACGATATGAATATATGAGTGTAGTAAAAAATAAATTTGAATCAATCATTGCATGATTTATTGACTTATTTTATCTTTGATTTTTTTATGTATTATCTATGATTTATTGAATAAATTTATTGACTTGAATTCGAAACTGTTTCTATCGAAAAAGTGTTATGAAACTGAAGGATGACCGAGGTCCAGAATATGGTTCATTTTTAACAGGATTGTTGGTCGACAGCTGATGTAACATAAATGGAGTAACTTCTCATCCACAACATAACGAAAGGAATTGCGCCACTCAAAGTAAATGTACAACAATACAAATAAGAATGAAGAGAAAGCCTTTCGTTTTTCCTTATTAGATAAATGTAAGTTTAAACGGTATTGGTCCCATGTGCTCGTACCACTTAGAATATCGCACAAACAGTAACTTGCAATTTTATAGCCTTCTACGGACGGAACAGCAGTACTTGTAGTCTACTTTGTTGCATTTTTAGTAAATTCGCTTTTTTCTATTATGTTGGTGCAAAATTGAAGCGTATTTTGTTGGATCTGAGTGGAAGGTAGAGAGATCGTATAGCTATAAGCTAGATTATAAAATAAGGTCTAATATTTATTTCTAAAAAGTCTAAAATTTTAATATTTCTTGGATCATGCTGGTTGATGATTATATTACTGTTATCCGCTTATTTGTCGCGGAGAACCTTACGGGTTACCGGGGCTCCGACTCGATGTGCAGGAGAAGGAACGGGGTGGTTTTTAATCAGTAAGAGTCTGACGCTCACCCAGGCGGGAGCAGTTATACGATGATTTTTCCCCTTAAAAAAATTAGCTTATTTGTATTTTGGAGCGAATTTATTGTGGTATGATTATTGTATCTAGAAATAAGAGGCTGAAAGTGATGATATATGCTAAGTTTTTCCTTTACCCCGCGAGCAAACCCACTGGCAGAGATCCAATAATGACATAAATGAACTTTAGTTTACTATAGACACAAATATGTACTAGTTTATACGTACGTGCACACATGAGAGCACATGATAGACGCCAGTAGTCATGAAACGGTCGCCGTAGCGAAAACCAGCATGGAAGATTATTATTATTATACGTGCACCAAGTCAAGAGCAACACCATGTTACTTACATAAAAATATTTTCCGTTACATACAACATAATTCCACGTTTCAATTGTTATTTATTCGAGCCCCTAATATTTCAATACAACCACTTCTTACGCCATATTTATAGCACCGTAAAGAACGATAAGTCAAGTATACCACAGGAGATGGCTCCATAACGACGAATAAGGAAAAATAAAGAAAAAAACGATATTCTTTTGGATAAAAAAAATCAAAACGTAATTATACGGATTAGGAAACACAGGATGAGTTTGGTTGAATGCCAGCCAGGTTCGACTGGCGACATCTGTGTTGAAGAGTGGGAACGAATAAGTTGATACTGACTTTATTGAGGTATGGTTACATGGGATGCGATGCGGGAAGATAGGCTAGCTATTTTTTAGAGTAGGAATATATTTTTAGTGCGCTATACAGGTGAATGGTTATCGTTTAAGTAGCAGTAAATTAGAACACTATTTTAAATTCGAATTGGTTTCGTCTTCGATCCTTTTTTTTATTTGATGGGCATACGTTTATTATAAAAAAATATTTACAATACAAATATATCATTGCAAATACAGTTGACAAACCATGTAATCACAGCTTAAAACCCTCTATAGAAATGAAGACTCATTTGCCCTCAAAAATTTCTCTAATCTATTGTTACCAAAATTCAAATGAGATCAAATATGTTTTATTACCGATCATCCATACAACACATCAAACCAAAACCAAACAATAATACCCCACCATTCTCAATTCACAATTCGAACCTAAAATTTTTACGTAAACAATCTCAAAAATATATGAACCTCCTCGCTTTAGGCTGCCTATCCATTGACGCGGAGCGGAGAAACAAAGAAATATTAACCAATAGGATTGCATGAAATCTCCGCTCCGCTTTAGTGGAAAGGGATTTGCGAGCTAGTTTAAAAATTCGTACATTTTCGTAAGCGGCGCGTGGTAGCGGTGCGAGGTAGCGGTGCGAGACGGCGGAGCGAGGTAGCCGAATAAGCCGACGGCGGGAAAGCGGTCTCGGGAGCGGGGCGAGGGTATGGGATATAGGGATAGTATAGTATACCGCTGAAGTTTGACAGTCCATTACTCCGCCCAGCAATACTCGCTTGCTCCACACCGCTTCCTCACCCTGCCTCAATGGACAGACACAGTCCGTAACTCCGCTCCGCAATATCTGGCTAGCTCCGCTCCGCGGCAATGGACAGGCAGCCTTATGAGGAGAAAGGCCTTCAAAGGCTTCCACACATTCGATAAGCGACCATCACCATGAAGGATTATTGAATTCATTCCTCTTAATGTCAAAGAGACCTTTTATTTGACGTTCGGGGACTAAAAGCACTCCGTCTTATACACGATATGTAATCAAAGTCTATCGAGTTCTTTGAAATAGAACACGTATCGTGGAGACTTATTTTTCATACGTGTTATATGGGCGCTGATGATTATAATATGTATATTATTAAAAATTGTTTGATTGGATCCTACTTCGCCGTTAAATCATGTGATCAGAAAGACGTCATTTATTCAGTGGTTTTGATAAAGAACAATGAGTTCGTACGCGCTTTCAAAGTTTATTTTTTGCAATGGTTCACCAATTATTATTTGTGAAGCAACGCTTGCGTTGTGTTTCGTCGTGTGAGTGAGGTTATTGGAGGCCCAATTACCCTCCCCTTCCCCAATCTCCCCAATTCCTAAATCTCCTAATACCTGCACCTGTAACGCATCTGGTGTTCCAGGTGTCCATGGACAACGCCAATTGCTTACCACTAGGTGATCCGTCTGCTCGTTTACCGGCTTATGCCATAAAAAAGTGCAATAGACTGATACAAATAATAACATACATTTAATATTGATAGAAAAAGTTGACACGTACACAAACAACATACTGTTTATAAAGACACGAATCTTGCAGAACCCAAAAAATTACGAACCCCTTTATAAAAGTGAAAGGTTATGAATTTTTTATATAATATTCATAGAAAGTTTAAGTAAACTAGAAGAATCTTTGGGAAGGCGAAACGTAATATGACTAGGGATGCAATATATTACAATTTGCGGTAGTCGGGGAACGAACGCCGTAATTAATATCAAGTTTGGTATAAATTTATGACGCAAAGCAACCTCTTCTTCTACACATGATTTTAAACCGTATTGTAATGCACTAAAGGTTATTTTTAAAAGAGAAATTGCCTTTGCTAAAAAATTCAAAGGTGAGATTTTTTATAGGAAAGAGTGACTTTTATGGCTATTTTACGGTATGATTGCGTATTCTATTAGTCCTCAGTGTGTTTTTTCGATGAGTTTGATTTTTATACGCTTGTTAATCAAAGTGAATTTCATGTAAATGAAAATATTTTATTTGTTTGGGATTTTCGCTAATTTATTTTTTATGAAATAATACGGTAAACGAGCAGACGGATAACCGAATGGTAGACAATCGGCGCTGCACATGGACACCTGGAATACCAGAGGTGTTACTAATGCGTTACTGGACTTTTGGGGATTAGGAATTTGAGGATTATTGGGGATTCGGAGATTAGGAGGGGCGTAATTGGTCCGTGGAGGAATCCGGTATCCTCACTCACACGACGAAGCACAACGCAAATGTTGTTTCACGTCGGTTTTCTGTGGCCGTGGTATCACTCCGGTCGAGCCGGCCCATTCGTGCAGAAGCATTGCTCTCCACACTTAGATATTATGAAAGGTATCCTTTTATTCTCTTAGATAAGATATTACAAGTACTTGTCTACAATGAAACTTTTACTAAAATATTGAACACATTTTTAAGATAACGTTGAAAAAAAATGGCCCATGTGGAATCTTAATCAAAATCTAAATTGAGACTTGTTTTTTCAGCAAAATTTTATTTATTTTAGGTCAGTACCATGTCTGAACAAACCCATTACGTTATATCTTATAAACATAAAAAATATTAATATATAAAGAGTTTCTTCAGACTAATAAAGATAAATATTTTAAAGACACAAACTTTTACGTTACGTTGTTTTGAAATATGGCAATCCAAATCACCTAATAAAGAACCTATTAAAGACCTATTTCATCATACTACTTTCTAAATGTAGAAGACTAAATAATTACAAAATCTTAATTCATGGCAATGCTGCCAGTTTCCTGGGAACGTTCCTCTGTGATAGTGATGCGGACGAATACTTTGACGCCTATATTGATGGTATAATTTTTGTTGCTTCCCTTTTTTTACTTTCATTTTATTTAATAGTTTAGTTGTAGTTAATTTTAAGTTGTAAATATATGTATAAACAATGTACTAAACGTTACTAAACTGTCAAATTCAATATCACTAGCTGTTAGCTGTGAATGTCCAAATCACAATATGAAATTGACAGCAGTTTCATAACATTACAAAACTTAACCAACATTACTTCATAGCTATAAAGTAATAACATTCCCACGCAAAGAGGTTCACAACGTCACTGCAATATCACCTGCGACACACATAGTTGTATAGTATCAAAATATTGCGTTTAAACCAAGGATGTTATAAAACATCGTATCTGTAACCGAAATGTATCGGATTTTCGATACTAAAATTACTCGGATCCGAAAAAATTGTTTAAGAAAAAAACCAATAAACGTACCGACGGATCACTTGATGGTAAGCAATTGCCCTCACCCATGGACACCCGCAACACCATAGGTGTTAGAAGTTCGCAACCGGCCTTTTAGGGGTTAGGAATTTGAGGATTTTTGGTATTCAGGGATGCGATGATTCGGAAGGGGGGCCTCCGGTAACCACACTCACATGACAAAACACAACGCAAGCGTTGTTTCACGTCTTTTTTAGAAAAAAGGGTAATTAATAATTAATATCAAAAAGGAAATATTTGTGGAGTCCCGTATTATTGAAAAAAATATCCGATAATACAAAGAACAATTTTATATCTGTTGCTAAGACCCTGTGTGACGTTATTGAAGAGACTACTTTCAGTAGTATCTGATGATAATGATGAACTGAAACCTTCATTTACGTCCGTGAATGAATGAATTGCAATAAATACCCTCCAGCTGAATGATAATTATAATAAACTAAATGACATAACAACTATTCCTTTATCCAAATCCGTATCCAGATCCGAAGCAACATCGTTATGTTGCTTTAAACTTTCTTAATCAAATTATGGTCTGGCAATGCTGAGAGAACAAAGGAACTTGAATACTGTACATTTTGGTATAAGCAGACATGTGGTACAACTGTGTAGTCAAATTATTTGTTCTTGTTTGTTTAGTGATATAGGAGTTGGAAAAATATATTGATTTGTATTTCATACTAGCTTCTGACCGCGATTTCGTATGCGCAATCCCGTTTTCTCCCGCTCCCATAGGATGTTCTTTTTTCTATTTTAAGAATCTTCTCCTAATAATAACAAATACAACAAAAAAAGAATTAGTTATATCGGTCCAGCCATTTACGCGTGATGCCGTGACCAAGGGGAAAAGGAAGTAACACAAAACAAAAATATACATATTACTATTTTCTAGGAATTGTAAAACAGCAAGAAAGTGTCTATAAAACATTAGTTGCCAAGGCAGCCTCCATAACGATGTTACTTGTGCTACTTGGCCCACTAATTTTCATGGAACCTCGTGTGTCGTAGAAAAACAATCCGCGATAATCGGATTGTACCACGATACAATATCGTATGTGCCACATACGTAACTATATTTACCGTTGCCATGGCAACCGCTTAACACTCGAACCTTTACGGTACCCATAATCTTCACTTGACTTTTCGTTTCCAAGAAAGTAGTGGATACAATTTGCAAAGAAAAATATTGGGTACGATCCTTTCAGGTAACACGAATTTGTTTATACTTACCCCTTCCAATATGTAGTGCAATTTACAAGCAAACTGCTCCAATACACTCACTTACTCTAATCTTATGCTCTTTCCCACTCTGATAAAATTAAAACGTACTCAAAAATTGGACTCAAATTTTCGTTGAACACGATCTCGTTTACTCTTACCAACTTTGGCCGTGAAAAATGTCGTACGAACGTAACCAACATAAAAAAGTGCCACCATAAAACTTGTATAAAGATATAAAAACACCAAACACTCGACCTCAATAAAACGCAAAAACAACTTATTAAAATTTAACACACAACCGTACCTAAATAATTAAAGAGTGAAGAACATGAAATGATTTTCAGTCCGAGCAACATTATGTAAATTATATACCCTCGGACGTGTAACTAGGGGCGTACTTAAATAATAATTACGTTGGGTTGTGTCGGGTGCAAATCATGTAGTGTGACTAAGGTCCGCCGTAGAACATAAGTTTATTATTATTAATGCCCAAGGAAACCGACGATCGCTGGGGATCGGTACAGCGGAAGGCTCGTATTAGCCCTCGTAAGATATCATAGGAACACACTTCGGGATCCCTACTAAAGATATTATACTAAATTAATGTTGTAAAGAGGGGCCGACGTAGTTCAGAGTATTTCAAGAAACGATTCCTGATCTGTATTTATGACTTAAGTTCCCAACTTGGGAATATAAAGTTTTTGCGGATAGATGAACATTGTGTACTATATTTTATTACTACTAAAATCTAATTTCAATTAACCAAACAAGAGTTGTAAGCCTTCAAAAACGGTGTTTATTTTCCAGAACAAGTTGTATAGCTCGAAACGAATATCGAATTTAAACTTCGACAAAACAAAGAAGATGAAATCGAATTCCGATTAGAAACGACACTTAACAAGTAACGCAAGATTACAATTTAACTACAATACACGGAATTGGATAAGTTTAGATCTAAGCCCTTCTGTTTATCCAATTAATCGCGCCGAGTTTCACCAGACAATGAATTTCATTCGCCTCTAAAAGTTCTCGAAGTAATCTTACCACTCGATTCTACAGAGAATACACCCATCTCTTTTACACTTCTTGCATCTGATGAAGCTTACAGTCTAAGAGAAATAATGTCAGCCTTGTAACTTAATCAAATTTCGTTCAGTTTAGCCGTGACGACGGAATTTCATTTAGCAAATTAACATTTCACTATTTGAAATTTTATGGGAGTGTTTTAAGATTTCCGCGGTGTGATTCCGTTTCATTTCGTGAGCCTCTTTGTCAGAGGCTTAAATCTTGAGATGGTAGATTGGTTTCTTTTTATATAGCTTATCTCTTTGAGCCTACTTGGTACCTACGGAACTTGAATTGGAAGGATTGTAAAGTACATCGGTATCTACTTCTCTTTATTCAGTGTCAATTCTTACGAGTACTGTTTTATACGTTTTAGCATCAAAATATTTCATTCTTATTTACTGTAGGTAGGTTTAGATTAGAGACTTTTTTGTCATGTATCAAATAGTTTCGTTGAAGCGTTAAATAAATGCAAATTACAAACAAACACTATCCTGCTTTCTGTAATTACTTCATGAGAAGAAAGAAAATAATCATCCTAGGGGATTTAGTTCACAATTTGTATTCTAATTAAAAAAGTAAAACCTTCTTTAATATTATATGGTAACTTTTCCAAAAGTATCTATGAAAACGTAAAATTATGTTCTCTTTTACTAACAATTCTTTTTCCTATCTTTACAGCGGACAAAGCCCCACCTGGTTTCCCCAGCATCGCGCCCCCACCTACGACCATGGTGGTGGAAGTAGGCCACACCGCCACTCTCCCCTGCCAAGCCACTGGCAACCCCTCGCCGAAGGTCAGGTGGCTATGGAACTCCTTGCCGCTAGATGTGGCCTCCAATCCCAGATACGCGCTACTCAATGACAAGATGCATGGTAAGTGATACATTATAAAGTATATTTCTAGGTGGTTTTAGGTGAATTTTATTACAAGGAAGCTTAGCACTGCGTAGGAGTTTGGCCTCACAAAACCGCTGCAACTCCTGTAAGCCAGGATCTACAGTAGATACAACAATGAAAACACTAAAACACTGAAGTCGGACGCGTCCCAGCCAGCAAATATGGCCGTGTTATTATTCATTTTCTATCACTTACACTATGGAGAGCGCTACAAAATTTTATTACACTGCTGCAACTTTTAACAATAGTTCTACACGACAGTACCCATTCTCATCACTTTGATGAACAGCAGTCTATAAGTGTTCATTTTGACAAAATTACAGATACTTAATTTTCAGTTTGAAAACAATAACACCATAGATAAAATAAAAAAAAACAAAACGTCCAAAGTCATTTGAATATAGAATGACACGAGAGCTATAGTCAGAATTTTAATTAGATTCCAGATTTGACAATAGCTACTGTCATTTTGTGAAATAATGATACCACATATAATAGTGTAGTGATGCACACAAAAATCGATAAACAATCGGTGTGTGTGTTTTATAATAAATGTTACAGAAAGTGACAGGATAGCGATAGCGATGACGGCGACAATTTATAAAATAACTTATTACCATAATACATCTATCTGTTTTATTTGTCATGTTCCTTCATGATTGCATTATTTTATTTATTTCACACACAATTATAAAAGAAAAGTCTCAGTCCGTAATTAATCGTCAAAACTAAATTATCGGTTCAGAAATATTTAATTTCCTGATAAACTTACAAAGTTCACGAGAGTAAAATTATAATTATTATAAACGAGAAGAATCGATCCAGAAATATTTCATTTCCATATCGAATAATTTTGCAACGTCACTATTTAGTACTTGTCATAACGTTGCCACACTGAAATTGTCAAATCTGGAATCGAATTAAAATTCCGAGTATAGGAACACACACGGTACATTGACGTTTTATCGACAAAGTGCCTGCATTATACGTTTATGCGTCGCCCTGGATACACTTGCAGGACATAATACAAGTCGACTTGTATCCAATAGCCCTTTTATCTCGAAACTTATTCCCGTGATAGCCTGTATACCTAATACGGCGCCTTTGATACGAACTAAACTCCTTTTTATTTCCAATAATGTGTTCGTGTTAACGTTTTTGAACGCCCGCAGCTATTAGGAAAATATAGAAAATATTTTTCTGATTTGAATTCTAAAACTCTTTCCTGTGGGTTTTTATTTTAATGTATTCTATTTATGCACTCAGTTGGCGTTTCACTAGTTCAGAAGAATGGTTAAACATTGGTTTGTTATTTACCGAATAGGTATTTAATATTCACATTTAAAACAAAAAAACCGTATTGTTATGAAAAATAAAATTAGAGGTACAAACAAAAACCTTCCAAAAAAAATGTAGATATAGAATAAAAATGTAGAGATAGAATAAAAATGTAGAGATAGAATTGTTTTTTGAAGCAACACTATGGAACACACCATTTTGAAATATGATACAATTTAAAAAATAAAATAAAGCAATGGCCACACAGCACTATAAATCATTACGAGTCGTGATCGCTTGACATGAAATTGTTTTAGCGACCTCCTGCATCACTTAGGAGTCACCTATAATTAAGTTTAATTAAGAAAAGATGGGCGCGATTAAAACACGCCGTAGAGACGAATTTAATTTGCAAATCTTAATGAAAGTTCGTCGTATGCTCGAGGTTGGGCGCCACAATATGATAAGAGGCGTCCCCACAAAATGTTAATAATATCAAGTTTTAAGTACCGCGAAAATAGCCTTGATGTGCGGATACAGACGGCAAATTCAATCGTAATATTTTCATTTATTTCTGTTATGAAATTGATTAAATTCATTACATTTATCTGAATACAATTCAAGAATTTTAGTTATTAATTAAGTATATTTCAGAATCTGTCTGCATTATATCCATGATTTTCGTAAACTATTTTATTTATTTATTATTTATGTATAAAACAGAGTACATAGGCCCCACATATTCCAACTGGACTATCTTTATATCTATAACAATCATGTAGGATCTTTTCATATCTGCAACTAGACTTTAAAACAAGGACATCGTGCAAAGAGAAAACGGCTGAATGAGGTATAATAAAACACTTTAAACAATGAATCTAATTATAAGATTTACAAAACCGATCTGCATAAGACCGCTAATGAAACATTTATTACTTAGATTCCTAAGCATCAACTTTGGAAGTAAATCCAAGGCATCAAGTGAATACTTGACAATTAAAACTGTCCATCTGTATTCCGAAATGTTAATAATTTCAATTTTAATACCATTATGCACTTCACAAGAGGTGAGAAAGTAATTTAAATTCAGTTAGAGCAAGCCACAGGCAACTCAACGCGGGCTCTTTTAATCTTATTAATTTTAATTTATTCGAGTAGATTATTTCTTCTCGGTCGACTCGAATATTTTGTTGCGGTAATTGTACGTAAATATTGGTTTAAGTTTAAAAATATTGAAGCTGTAACCCTATATTCATGACTCTCATATTTAAGAATGGAATATTTCAGAGTAACAGTTGTCACACTAATATTAACATAACATAACATAACATCGCGCCTTTTATCCCCGAAGGGGTAGGCAAAGCACATTACAGCACTTAATGCCACTGTTCACTATTTATGTAATGAGTCCCATGTAATAGGGGGTGAGCCAATTGCCATATACCAGGCACAATTCCAGACTCCGTGCTACTACTGAGAATATTTAAAAAACTCAGTAATACCTTGCCCGATCCGGGAATTGAACCCGAGACCCCTTGCCCGGTAGTCGCACTTGCGACAACTCGGTCAACGAGGCAGTCTATAACTAATATTATAAATGTGAAAGTTTCTTTGCTTGGATGTTTGTCTGTTTATCCCGCTGAAACTACTGAACGGATTTTGATGAAATTTGATATATAGAAGGTGTACAGCAGGGTATGGGCTGACTTAGGTAATAGGACATTGTTAGCTTTTTTTGCTGTCTTGAAATCGTTAGGTAACTAAAAACGTTTGCAACAAACTAATTGACTATTTGTCTTAATTAGATAACTAATTGCACAGTAGATATCAAAGTGCAGATATATACACACAAAAACAAATTGTAGTTATAATGTTTTCTCCCATAAATTCTTAAATAAACATAATAAGACAGGGCGGTATTCCGACACTACCGACCAAGAAATATTAAAAAAGAATAAAAAAAAGAAACTGACCATGGGAATTTTTTACACTGCCTTAATTATTATTCTATGTAAAAATAAAATTAGATAACCCTTATAATTATGATAAGTAATAGTATATTGATTGCATTACATAATAATGACATAAATATAAATAATTTTGCATGCTTGCTTGCAGAATACAGTTAGGTTAAAAGATTTTCTTCGTAAATCATTGTATTTCTAGCAAATAAATGTTTTAATTTGATTTAAATTGTTTGACGTAAGTTTTAACTAAATTAATACTCTATGTTGCGCTTACTTAAAACTATATTCGATTACACAATTATTAAAAGCAAATAATTATACATTTTACTGAATGGAACGGTAGTAAAATTATTTGTTTAAACATACATCAATAAATATTTGAATGTTTCATATAATTAGTGTTAATTAAGTTACATACATACATATATATAGTTAATTATAATAAATATTTGGTTTACTTGTAAAATTGTCATTAATTGAAATATAAAACCACTATTTTATAGGAGAATACCACTATATATTATAGTAGTTTTATGTCGACAGTAATGTCGATAAATGTTGAATTTATCAATGTCATATTTTTTTCTTTTTTTAAGCGATAAACGTCCAGACGATTCGCCTTATGGTAAGCAACCGGCGCGGCCCATGGACACTTGAAACACCAAAGGCGTTACAAGCGCGTTACCGGCGTTTTGGGTATTGGGAATTTGAGGATTGGCAAAATGTATAATGGCGACAAAACATCCAATGCTGAGCATAGCTTTCGGCCAAAAGCACGTAATATTTTGGAATTCTCTGCCCTTTACAGTCCACAGGTGAAGACTTCTATTTAGGAGGATTTCCCATAATATTCACACTGAGCGGGTCGGATCTGGTGTTCCAGGTGTCCATAGGCGGCGCTGCGCTGATTGCTTACCATCAAGTGATCTGCTCGTTTACTGGCTTATTGCATAAAGACATTTTAAATTCGGAGTTTCTTTCAAAAATAGATCTCAATCCACAGATTTTGGATGGTGGTAGCTTACCATATTGGGCTGTCAGTCGACTCCTAGACACTCACTCGGTACTTGCTTCGGCAGTACATATACTAAAATTGTAACGATACAGACCATTAAAAAAACGCCCTTCACTCGAAGAATATAAGTGATGACAAATGTGTCCCTTCTGCCACATACCTATCTTAAAACAAACGAACTGAAAGCACAAATAATAACAATACACATAACATAACATCACGCCTTTTATCCCCGGATGGGGTAGGCAGAGGTGCACGTTATATCAGTAACACCCACTTTTCACTATTTATGTTATAAGTCCCATGTAACAAGGGGTGCCTATTGCCATATACCGGGCACATTTACAGACATCGTGCTACTACTGAGAATTTCTCAAAAAAAAACCAGTAATACTTTGCCCGACCCGGGAATCGAACCTTCTTGCCTGGCAGTCCAACTTGCAACCATTCGCCCTACGAGGCAGGCAACAAACGAACCTATAGCACAAACAATAACAATACCTATAACATAATTGTCCCGTACCCGAGTCTGGGTGAGTTATCTAAGGAAACCGCTACGTGTCATAGCCGCGACGTTCTCCGTAAACTCGGTAACATTGTTAGACACAGGTGCCGCCATACATTACCTGGCGGTATATGTTTAGCGTGTCTACCTATGTCGGTAGACATATTATGTCTTCGATCGCTCTGCTAATTAGTTATAGTGGTGCTGTGCT